TAATTTCAATGTTCGGCATAACATATTGCTGCGAATCATTATATTTTACAATCAAATTTATTAAGTCCAAGCACCGGTCGCAGCTAACAAATGAACATTTGACTGAGATTATACGTACTTCATTCACAAATTATAAGCCAGATTTTCATAAATTTGTAATACACACCAATGCATCAACCAGTAAAGTATAAAAATATCATATTTTTTTCTTCAATTCTAACTTTATTTTATTTATAGGACTAAGACATTTTACATAATTTACAACCAGATATTACATAATTTATAATTTATATCATTGCGGCTCGCAAAAAATTCAAAATTTTGAGTTTTGGCTCTTACCATGACCAAGTCTGGCCACCCCTGTTATAGAGCCATAGTTATATAAGTAAAATAATACTTGTGCATTATAAAGAATATATTTAATAAAAGAGAATAAAATTAAAGTAGACTTACATCGTTCCATATTAAAGATATTCATTTTTAAAGTTCAAAATGAGTAAATTTTACCCATGCTTGGAAATCCAGGGTTAAATGAAGAGGTTCATTATATAAGTAAGTGGTTCGTTGTTTGAAGATTTTGACTGTATAAAATACACAATTAAAAGAGCAGTAAATAACTTGGTAATAAAAAAGAAATTTGTGTAAATTTCTATTTCTTCAAAAAATAAATTTATTTTCTCTAAAAAACAAAAAACAATAAGTTTTTTAAAACAAAAAAAAAAAAATTTAATTATAATTTACACATTAAATTTAAATTTACATATTTATTTATAAATTACAAATTTTCTTTTTATACAATATAATTTATTAATTTTATTTAATTTTTATTTTAATAGAAAATTTAATTTTCTCTTCTCTTATAGATTATAATTTAAAATTTTTAATTTTGTGGTAAATTTGGGGGGGGGCAATTCGAATAAATTCAGTAAAATTTCATTTAATTTTTAGAACTATGTCCTTTTTTTCATGGAGCACTTATACTGATTATGGGTATTTGATAATTATACAATATTATTTAATTAAATTTGAAAAATATCGCTATTATTATTATAGTAACACCATTAAAATTTGTAATTTTATTTATTTGTTTTATTTTTATTAATTAATTTTTAAGTAAAAATTGGTGGTTCAAAATTTTCATATTTACAAGACAATTTTTTTAATAATCTAAAATTGTCTTTATTTACATTAATTAATACAATTGAAATTTTTCCAAAAAAATTTATTTTAATCTTATTTTACATTTAAATATTCTTATTGAATTTAATTCAATAATAAAAATTTTTGCTTAAATATTAAAATATTGTCGATTTAAAATTTTCTTGTTTTTTTTTTTTTTTCATTTTGAAATTATTTGAAATTATTTTACTGAATTTAAAATATGAATTCCCCATAAAATTTAATTTTTTTTATGAATTTTATTTAAAAATTCTTTAGAATTTTTAATTTTTTAATTATTTTTATAATTAGTAATGGCAATTTACTATTATTGCATTAAAATGCATGATTTTATTAAATTTAATAATCGATTTAAGATTTTTGGTTTTTTTCAATAATTTCGATAATCGTTAAAGGACATCTTGCGCTTTTTGGGAATTTCTAAATAAAAATTAAATTAAAAGTTAAAATTTTTAAAACGAAGTTTTAATCATGATTTGAAAGTAACACCCTGTACTACTCTTTTTGGGTAGATACTTAGTTACAATATTGTTAGGTTATTCTTAAGTTATTTTTGAATACAAAGCTGCTTTTATCTTGTGTTATTATTTACTCAGTATATTGGACAACGTAGTGAAAAGTTAGTACAGTAGAAATCTGCTCTAGTCAACACAATAAAAACATGAAAACATGGGCACATGAAATAAGTTCCCTATATTAAATGTCAAATAAATTGAACTAAAAAGTAGTAGAATAATTGAATTTCTATAATATTAACCTGATTTTAAATTTCATTTTTAAATTACAAAAATTATGCAAAATTTTGAAGAGCTTGAATTATTAGTTCATTACCATCCTTGTCCACCTATAAATAATTTCAAGTGATTTTTATTTCATATTTTCCTAATCGGAATCTTTTAAAAATATTTTTAACTTTAATGTTCCACTCCCAACTCGTGTATTATTTGAAACATTTTGAATTGAAACAAAAAAAAATGAAATTTTAACAATTTGTACTAATTAAATAATGTGGTTTGTGTTTACAATATTTATTTTAAATATTTTCCAGTAGTGGCGCTTTATATGCTTTGTTGAATTAAAGTGGAATTTTTTGAAATTTTAATGAATCTCATTTGAACATTTTTAATACCTAAAAACTGCTTTATTTAAAATAATTAAATTGGTAAGTTAAATAAATTAATTAAAATATTTATAAGGAACATTATAATAATTGTAAAATATTAATTATGTTTTATAACTTATTAATTTTACATACAACAGGCCAGGCTGCCTTACTATGGCAATTCAATTTTCGTTCAGAAAGAAATTCAGAAAAATGATAAGGTAGTACCAATCAATTTGTATAATACTACCTTTCCAATTCTGCAAATACGAAAATCATTTCAAGAAAATCGAATTACATAGGAAGACTCCAAGATTAGCTGATTGATTATTAAATTTTAATCAAATTTAATTAATCGCTAGTGTGACTGACTGACTAAATTTAAATAAAAAAAAATTATTTCATAATATGGAAATGGGGATAGATAAGGATGGGGATGCAAAATTTCATATTGGTTTTTATAAATATATTGATAAAATTTAATTACCATTGTTAGTAATAGGTGTAGTAGTTAAGGAATTCGACAAATTTTTCAACAAATTTTAATTCTTAAAATTAGCATACAAGTATAAGCATTTTGTATTCAAATAATTTAATTGGTAAAACCTTAATATTTGTTATTTGGTTTTTAATATGAAGATTTTTTTTGTAAACATTGGTTTTTATGAAAAATTGTTAATTTAAAAAAAAAATACAATATTTGATTTTTATGAGTTTGAGGTTCAAAATTGTTGTGTTTTTTGTTGTTAACTTTTAAAAAATTTCAAAAATAAATTTTTTTTTACATAAATATTATATAAGAAATATAGTTTTTCCTTTTTTTTAGTTAGTGTAAAAGTAGAAAGAGAATAATAATAAATTTATTATATAAATAGTAACTATTTTAATTATAACTATATAAATAAATAATTTTACAATATTTTTATTTTTACATTTATATATAGAATTTTTCTTTGTTTCTTTGTTTTTTTTTTAATAAATAAATTAATTATTTAATTTTTTATTTATAAATGCTTTCGTTTCTTGCTAAATTTTTTTATTATTTTTAATTCTTTTTAAAATAAATTATAAATTTTACAATTAATTAATGATATTTTTTAGTGTTATAGCAGATTTTACATGAATTATGTATTTTTTTTTTTGTATATTGAATGAAAATTGAATTTTAATAAATAATAATAAATAGAAAAATTAATTTTTGTATTTGTTTATTTGTTTTTTTTTTAAATTATTTTCTAAAATAAACAATAATTATATTTTTTACATTTGCAAAATTTTTGTCAATTTAAATTTCTGAACATAGGAAACATTCCGAAAAAAGTAATATTGCAAGAATGTTGAGAAATAAAGGATGTTGGGTAATTTGAAATTGTCCGATAGATTATTATAAAAGAGATGTAAGAAATAATAATAATAATAATAATAATGAGTTGATAAACTTAAAATTTGCAAATAATTCAAGGAAAACTTTTAAAATTTCCTTATATATAGGTACATTCTTTCTACAATACAATTATTTAGAGGAATAACATGTTATTAGATTTTATTTAGACGAATAACAAAATATTAAAGTGTTAACATTAAAGTGTTAAGACTTTAATATTTTGTTATAAATTATATATTGTATAATTTGAAATGGGTACTTGTAAAACATTTAAATAATATCTAGAGTTTGACATGCTAATATGTAGAGTTTCATTATAAAAATTTCAAATAAACAATTTCAATATGTGCTCAATTGCACTAATTTACTCTCGATTGTCGCATACGATCCGAATTGTTTTAGGTACTGTTTACATATACGACAAAATTTAAGATTAATTCTGTATGAACAAAATCTGATTAATGGTATCTTTAGGCTTTTCGTTTAATAGTTTAATTATTTTTAAAAATAAATAATTTGAAAATGTTTTTTAATTTTTTTTAGTATTTATATGCAATTGTAATTATTTAACTATTTTGGCCATAAATTTGATAATATTTTATTATTATTAAATTTATTTTTTAACTATTTTTAAAATTCTAAATGTATAACATGTAAATATATTGTGGATGTAAATGTATTTTTTGATGAATAATATTAAATGAATTTCTTCTCTTAAAATATTATTTTCTTTTCTCTTATTTTTATCTACTATTTTATTTTATTTTTTTTTTTCTAAAACAAAATAAAAACCTAAAATATTTTCTAAAATGCTAAATGCGATATGAAAATTTTGTTTGAAAATTTTTAATTTATTTTGTATTTTTTCTTTAAAAATTTTTAATATTTTGCAATTCAATAGACTAAATATTTAATATTTTTCTACAAACTTTACTATAATTCAATAAGTAAATCAAAAATCAAGTATATCAACCAACAAAATAAACAAAACATAATGAAGTTGCTCAATTGATACCATTAGAACCTAAATAAGCTGGGCATTTGTATATGAAATAAAGAGTTAATAAGATGAACAGTTAAATGCTGTCGACGCATCCTAAAAAAAAATGTTTATTTAGGATTTAAACAAAAGCAAAATTCAAAGCTTCTGCTGTAAAAAAAAATGAAAAACATTCAAAAAATTTATGCTGCAGAAGGTTGGTACAACTTGTTTCCAAATGTTAGGTGCTATAAAATCAATAATTTTTTCACGGTCAATAAAAAAGAACTCTTGTACCATTTGAATATGTGAAATCATTTGGCACAGCAGCGGTAGTAACTTCTACTGCTAATTAATTTAGAAATAAAATCCTGATTTTGCTAATATTAAATTGAAATGTTGATGACCTACTTATATATAGATTACAATTTACATTTAAAAATATCATATCAAATTATTTTTAAAATTAATACATAAATAAATGTAGAATTTTCTATTTGTAAGATTATATGAAGCCTCTCGTTTTTCTAAAATTTTCATATCGTAAGAAGCATTTTAAATTAATCTAAATTCTTATTTTAATATAAGCATTTACATAAAAAACAATTAAATAATATTATAAAAAAAATTTCTTTAAAAAAAATAATTTAAAAAAAAAAACAAGCATTAATTAATAATGTTTTTGTTTTTCTTAATAATAATTTTGATTTTTTGTGTTTTTTTCTTTTATAGGTTTTTTGTTTAATTTTTTCTTTTCCTTAAATTTTATCGTCATATGGGGTTTTTACAAAATACGTTGTTAGATTTCCTTTTCCTTTCACATAAATAACACCGCGACACTCTAATTGATAACCGGCTGCCATTAATATTTTTGCTGTTGGTTCCGTTGTCTAAAAATAAATAATAGTAAATATTTTTAGAATAAATTTTTTATTATTTTTAATTTAAAATTTAAATATTAAAGAATTTTTTAAGGCTATACTTTGAAATTCAGATTCGACAGTTCAAATTTCTGAAAGAGCTTATATTCTAAACAAGTTGATCCACTTTATAAGCGATTTTCAACTAAAAGATTTTAATTTTGAAATGAAGCGGCTCATAAATTTTGTCAAAGCTCCAAAGAAGGTATACTTAATCATGCACCGATTCATATTTAAAACTTTTTTTAATATTTGACATTCAAGCATTAAACAAAGAATATGATAAATACTAAATGTCATTTAGTTGTCAATTAAAACAAATGTCACATTTCTGATTTGAAAATTTGATGTATAAAAACATTGAATGAGAATTTTTATCAGAAATAATTTTAGCGCTTTAACACTACTAAAAAGTATATATTGAATCCGAACGATCCCGAATCACATTTGTACTGAAGGAGCAAAAGATTAAAGGAACCTTATCCAGAATTTTCTCATGATATTTTGATAAAGTTGACAGCATTTTTACGGCAAAAATTTATGCTATTTTGAATTCGATTTTGATTACAGGAAACAATAAAATTATTTCCAATTCCAAATCGTGTTATTCATATCCAAATCTAATGTAAATTCACCGTTAGTCAGTTGACATCAAATTTTATAAATCAAATTTAATATGTGATAAGAGAATTTAATTCTAAAATGGTAAAAGAAAGGTTATTGCCATTAATAAATAATTAATAATTTTAAAAAACAAAATGTCTAATTTCTTTTAATAAACTATGCAAACTAATTCGGAGCCGTCATATCTTTAACGCATATGATGACACACCGAAAGAAAAATATAATCTTAAATTCTTAAATTGTAATCTTAAAATCATTTCAATCTCCTCAAATTCAAGTATCCATTTCAATTAAGAAATTTAATAAATAACAATTTCTTACAAAATATTTTATTCAATGAAATTTAATTAGTAACAGGAAATTTAATTAAATTAAAAGAAGACAAAGCATATAAATTAATAATAAAATTTAATCAATTGGAATTTTTACCTTCCATTATTAATTTTGTTCTTAAAATTTAATTCAAACATTTTTATTTTATATTAAGTAATTTTCCACGTGACATATTTTTCCCTACATAAGCATTTTTTTTATATTATTTTCCATTGAATCACTAAGAAAATTCAATTACAATCTATAATAATCGAATATCCTTATTGAGGAATACAAAACAACAAAAATAAGACAAAAAAAAAAAATATTCGAAACACATATGAGGTAAAAGCTTAAAATAATCAAAGGAATCACCAAAAAAAAAATAAAGAGAAAATAAAAACGGAACAGTGATTTACTAAATTAATATGAGTCCTTTTAATAAAATGGAGAAAAAACAAATAAAAATAAAAAAAATGTTTGAATCCTTCAATTTCCTTTTAATGGAATAGAATTAATCCTTATTTCAATATATAGAAGAAAGAAAATCAAAAACACAAACAAATTTTATTTCCGAATAACGAACGCATTTTCTATACTTTTCCTCTCTACATTTTGAATTTGGATCCTTTATAATGCCTCATGTAACTTTATTGTATTGAATTATAAACTTAGAGCACAATATATTAGACGAGAAAAATTTAAGGAGCATAAGAACACACACAAAAAAAAAAAAAAAACAGAATTTTAAAAATTCTTTTAGATTAAATTTCAAATTCACGCAGAGAGTAGAGCAGATCGGAGCAGAGCAGAACAGAACAGAACCGAAAACAATAATCAAAAAATTATCAAAAGAACAAAAATATAAAGGTAATAAAAGCCCATATAAACAAAAAACAAACACAAAAAAAAAAAAAAAAAATTTTTTTCTTTTTAGATTTTCGTTCATTTTTCTCCTTACCTGTAATCTTCCCATAACACCACATGAATCCATACGTGAAGCAACATTAACAGTATTACTCCATATATCATATTGAGGCTTTTGTGCACCAATAACACCAGCAATAACTGGCCCATGATTTAAACCAATACGTAAACGAAATCTTTGAAATGATTCACGATTCAATGAATCCAATATTGACATCAAGGCTATAGCAAATTCAACAAGTATTACAACATTATGTTCTTCGGTACGTTTTTCATCCTTTTGTTATTGTTGTTCAAATTATTGTTGATTTTATTATTGTTGTTGAATTGCAATTTTTTATAAAAAAATAATTTATAAAATTTTTAGGGGAATAGAAAAAACAATCTAAATTTTTTTATTTTATTATGATTGATAATTAAAAAAAAAAAAAAAAAGAAAACAAAAAGAAAACTAAAACGTGAAAAATATTTATTAAAAATTGCATACTTTTTGGGGCATTTTTCTTTTAAATTATGTAAAAACTTTGATTTTTAAACTGTCAAGTTTTGCTTATAAGTCTTAAATTGCTGGTTTTTTAAAGTATTACAGCTAATTATTGGGTCATTTTGATTGGCATTAAAAGTAAATTCATCATTTGTTTTACAATTATCTTCCATATTTGAAGGTTACGATCCCGAAATTCTTACGTTATTAAATGCCTAAATTTTTTTTCAACCAGGATCCCTGCTTTTTAGAAATTGACTTTTTTTTTTGAAAATTCAGCAAGTTTTACAAAATTAATTCCATATTTTTGACGTAATTTTACAACGGCCCCATCTCCTATCCGAATTTTCAAACTAAAAAGAGTTGTTTTGTAGAGACCCAAATAAACTTATTTCAATAGAATTACACCCACCTAATATGTTTGACTATATTACTAGAATTCGGCTTATTGTCTCTTATTTCAAGTTCACTAAATAATTTAATGTTTGTAGTAAAGGCATACGCATGTAAAATTTTAACAGCAATAATAGTAAATTATTATGGTTGCCTACTACCATTTCACACAAAAAAAATAACTTTAATCCTTTGTTAAAGCTGTTCCAAATACATAAATGTATATATACGTATAAATGTCCGTACATAATAGATATTGGAATGAATTTTAGTTTTTGTAATTCATAAGATTCTCTATTTTCGATATATCAATGTCAAATTGTCTGGTGTAACATCAATCATTTTTACGATTGAGTTTTAATTAACTTAAAACCATTAAATTTTTTATATGTATACACGTTTAATAATGATTAGAAAGCTAAATTTTTATTTTATCATTGATTCAATAATAATAGTCAATAACTTAATGGTTATTTATTTTGCCAAACCGCTTATATATATACCCAATGATGGTGTTTATCCTTTTAAATTGTACATTAACAGATAGATTTTAATTTAGATGATAGATGGTGTTTGCGGAGAATTTTAGCTGTCCGTTTGCAATTTCGTTAATATGAGGTATTTTTAATGTTCATTGAAATTTAGTCATTCGTATTAAATATCATTAGTAATTGCAAAATAAGAGAAACAGAAAGAGAAAACAAAATCAGCGAAGGAATTCGGCAATTGCTCATTGAACCTGTAGCAGAAATAACAGAAATTCAAATATACTTTCGGTTGCACTTCGTGAGCAGCATGTTTTCATGTGATAAGCGTTTGACATTTTAAATTCATTTAATTTTGGATTTCGATATGAAAACATCATTTTGTTTTTATATGAGCAGTATAGGTAGCAAGCACCAACTCATGGTAACATTAAAAAACATTCTATGTAGCTTCAATTTTATTATAATATTGAACTTTTTTAGAATATAGTTGCTTTATAGCTGTACCCATATTTTAAGAGTTATATGAAAAATTGTAACTGATTCTGAAGAAAATACATTGAGGAAGAGATAGAGAGAGAGAGAACAATGTTGCAACTCTCAATACTGCAACTAGTTTGGCCCAGTGCAATACAGGCCCAGTATTGCAATATTAGCATTTTTAATGCCAAAATTTGGCATAATACATTTTAGTTTTGCATTGAATTTTTAAAAGATTATATCAATTTTTGGCTTTAAACTGCCAGGTTTTTGAAATTCGACATTAAATAGCATTGTATTTTGTCTAATCTAACACAATTTACTCGATCAAATATTCCAATACTGGACAGGCCGTTTAAAATTGTTCTCTTTATCATATTTCATACTTAGTAATTATTTTAGTTTTTTGTTAACTTAAAATTTTTCAAAGCTCTTTTGGGATTTCGCCTGAGCCAAAAATTTACTTGTTAATTTGCGCTTAATATTTCACTGAAAGAATTTGGTTTGGGAGAAGATACGAGCCAGAAAAATTTCCATGATTAAAAATATCGTATTTAATTTGCCATAAATTTCGAAAATCAATAAATCGAAAAATTAATAAAGTTTGAAAAAAACCAATTTGCTATTTCGAAAGTAAAGTAGTTTTCAACATTCTTTAAATGTTATTCTTCCAACTGTGTACGTGCATGTACCCTACATATATAACGTATATTGATATTGATGATGATGATTTCGGTGATGTTGATCGATTTTTATTAACAAAATTGACTTGACCTTTTCCAATAATTTTCTGTTGGTTATCCTTTTTTTTTGTAATTTATAAGAAAAAAGTTTTTCTTTAATACTTGAAAATAATTTTAAAGAAAAAATTCGGGTACATCCCAATAATATTCTTATGTTTAAATAACCGAAAACAATGAAATATACAATCTAACATATTTTACATTTGAAATAAAAGAGAAAAATTTTTAAAAATACAGAAAAAAATTTTCAATACACATGTTCAAAAAATGTAAAAACGGTTGTTAAATATATAAATTTTCGAAATATCTTGTTTGTATTTTATTTGTATAATAATTTGGGTAATGTACACAGTGATGTGGTCGAGAATGTCATCTGTAAAAGATTGTATGGGCTTAGTGCTTTAAAGAATCGTTTCCGAAAATTTGATTAAAAATTTGAATTTTGGGATGAAGATCATGTTGTGAAGAGAAATTTTATTTGTATCGTAAAATTAGGGCCTTTCCCAGTATGTCAAATGCATGCAACTGACGTTAGTCATGAATCCTATGCTATTATGACGCTAGCGTCATAAATTCCAACATATGTTGCTAACGCAATTGATTGGCATTTTAGTTTTTTTTTCGCATGTTTTTTAAGGCTAATGCATAAGTGATTTGTTTGAAAATTGCTCAAATTACAGGTGATTGTCATTTGCTAAATCAAGCGATTGACGTGATTGACATGATCGTCAAATCTTTGAAATACTGGGAAAGGGCCTTACAAACAAGAGAACCTTAACACTCATAAACCTACTACAATAACGAACACAAGAATTACAATGAATGAACGGTCAGCGGTTCAAACTACATAACACTTATATTTATTCTACTTCTTGCTTTGTTTTTACATAATTACCGTATGTCATTAATGATGATTGACAACTTTATGCCGGAGTATTTGAAAACTACTTATGACATACAAATATAAAGAAAAAATAAAATTCTCTGGATATTCTGCACCCTGAATTTTTTGGATTTTCTCAACGAAATTTGAGTGTCACACGATCTGACAATTAAGAACATAAATGCAATTTTAAAATATGTATAACGTGTTTTTTACATTTAAAATAATTTCTAAACAATTATTTGTACACCGGAATTATGCAGAATAATTTTTAGTCGAAACTGTATTTGCGAGCACTAAAAATGTTTTAAAGGATATAAAAAAGAATAAATTTTGTCAACTCGTGCCTACAAAACAAAAAATTTTATTTGTTTGTTTCTCTTTTGTATTTTTGGATATTTTTGATTGTTTTGCTCATTTTTTTTTAGACTTCCTTCCGGTCTCAAAGGGTTTGTTTAAGTAAGTACTTTTTATAGCTCATCAGGGTCCTATAAAACGAAGAGCGAATAATATACAATAAGATTCTGTGTTTTCCTCACCGTATTTTCTTATTAGTAGCTTATTTTACTTTTATATTTTACTCTTGTATAATTTATTGTTGGATGACCTTTTTTTTTGTTTGTTTTGTCGGAAGAGGATTTAATTTTATATTAAACATTATGTCCCAACTAAATTTATGATTTTTTTTCGATTGAAATTTAATGAAAAGGCTATTTTAGCATTGTTGTACGTTTGTCTGTAGGTCATATTTATTGAATGGCTGTAAAATGGTGAATTGGGCTTGTAGACGTAGATTTTCGTGGAGATGGTGACAGTGACAGTAACAATGACAGTAACAGTAACAGTAACAGTAACAGTGATAGTGACAGTGACAGTAGCAGTGATTGTAACAGTGACAGTAACAGTGACAGTAACAGTGACAGTAACAGTGACAGTAACAGTAACAGTGATAGTGACAGTGACAGTAGCAGTGATTGTAACAGTGACAGTAACAGTGACAGTAACAGTGACAGTAACAGTAACAGTGACAGTGACAGTGGCAGTGATAGTGAGGATGACCGTGGCTATACATATATCAGTCATAAGGATGACGAAGCATATTTCGTGCACCCCGACTATGATATAATGGGAATGCAATATAGTCGTGTGAAACTATTTAACTAGTTACTTGCACCAGAAAACTGGTTTCATTCACTTTTATTGCCAATCATGTTTCCTCTTTTTATTAAATAAGATTACGTATTATCAACATATTGGACCTCAAAGTGTTTAACATTAAATATTTACAATTTAATCAATTTGGATTTGGGTCACTTTTCATATTATCTCATTTTCGAATCACAGATAACAAGGGAATCGGTTTGATTTTAAACACTTTGCTTAACCTTCATGTAAATAACAAGTAAAATTTTAGACACTTGTTTGTTTGTTAGTTTTCTAAGAATGTAGTAAACTACACAAAATAACTATAACCCTTAAATATTATCCTATTATTTGGTGTATACATACATAATTGTTATACTAATTTGAATATTTCTATTTTATTATTACCTTTTGACAATTTATTCATTGAAATCTCAACAATACCTACTTTTTATTCATTAATTTCACCCAAATATTATGCAGACTAGGACTATACAGGGAACAAGAGTAAATATACTATTCAATGTAGAGAATATATAAGGGAATTTTATGGCAAACAAAAGAGCAAAAAAAAAAAAAAAGTTAGAAAATTAAAACAAAAATCCTGACAGAAAAAATATTTTTTTTTATTATTTCTGTTACAGTTATTTGCTGATACAATAATGGTTACAAAAATGGTAGGATAACCATAGCAGAAGGATTGTAAATTGAAAAGGAATAAATTTCTAAATAAAATAAAAATAAAAGTTGAGATTAAAAAGAAACCTATACCAGTACAAAATAGAGTAAAAAGGAAAAAAAAGGACCTCAGAATTTAAAAATACAAGACAATATTTTGTAAATTATAAAAATCAGTAGTAGAAAACCTAACAGCGATAGTGTCATTGTTCAACTGGGATTTTTTCATTGAGAAGTAATTGGTAAACAGTTTATGGATGCAGTGGAAAAATGTAAATTTTCAACGGATTTACGCATTATTTTTGTTACAAATATGGAACAAGGTTTTTCATTATACATAAGTGCAGCTAATTTGATTTCGTTACATTCAAAACTGAGTGAGAGAGGGCAACAGTCTCATATTCAACGGGATGTTTTAGAGCACAGCTAATATGGTACTTTAAAATATTTTCCTCTTAGTCTCTATAAGAACTTTTTAATTAAAAGGAAATCAAAAGGTTGACATTTACTGGCCCCATAATACAAAATGTATCGGATGGTGTTCTTATAAAATATCATGGACAACTTTTTTCTTTTAACAAATAACCAATTTTTACTACATTCAAACGTCTTTTATTTTTTCTTTCCAAAGGCGAAAATTTTATTTTATTGTTAACCAATTTTTTTTATTCCACCCAATTTTCTGGTTTTTGTTTATTTTTCTAATAACATTTATCTTCCAAAAGGAAGAGTAACAAAATTTTATGCATAAGTATGCATAAAGGATAATAAAGGAATTGCCATTATTTAAATAACATTTGCCCTTATATTTTTTTAAGGAAAATGTTATAGTTGGAGAAAAATTATATTAGGCTATGAATTTCATGAATTACTTAAATTGCAATATCAAATTGTTTAAGAAAATATTAAGAATATACCAAATTATTAATAAATTAATTTAAAAAATCGAATATTAAGCGGAAGAATGTTCTCAGATACCATTCGGCACAACGAATATTACGGGAGATTTCTCTTTGTTTCTTGATTTAAATGAATGTTAAAATTGGACTAAATTTTGACAAATGCCTCCTTCATCGTTCCTGGTCCGCATACGGGGCTGTCGCGTTCCAAAGACTTCTTTGATCGACGGATCGCGGGCATTCCTAACATTGTAAGGCGAAGACGCTCTTCACTGAGGGTTCTATCGTGGTTTGTTACTGGGCATGGGCCCTTTAACTCATATTTACAAAAAATTGGCAGATCAAGTACGCAGCAATGTAGACTTTGCGACCGGGGCACGTAGGATTCTTCCGCTTCACTCATGTCCTATTTGAGTCTGATGGTTTGGCCTGTTAAAATTTATCGGGATCCTTAATCTTGAGTTCTAATGATCTGGTGTGGGGATGCACAAAAAACCTCTATGGTCGAGGTGCTGATTAAATTCGCCCCAAACGCAACATAACATAACATTTATAAAGAAATTTTTGATTAGCCTTTAAAGTAATTCAAACTTTGTTATTAAATAAACAAGATTATTAACAAATTTGAATTTAAAGTATATACGAGTGTTTAATATACAAATGCACTCCAAAAAACTAATATGCAAAATGAACATTAAGAGTTATGCTTCCAAAATTTTGTAATTTCTATAATTTAAGAAAAGATTGCTAAATCAATGAATTGACATAAAACATGCTAGAATCCGCAAATTTTAATATTCGTCACGTGATTTAAAGCTGTATTATCGCAAAAGTGTTTGATAAGATGGGTCCATTCATAATATATTTAAAGAACTAACTTTCTTAATTAGGACTAGCTAATTTTCTTAAGGACTTTTAAATGCAGGAACACATAAATAAATGTAAGAAATAATTAAGAAACCATAATCACTTGCGTTACAAACAAAAAATTGGAGGTCATGACGATCACGTCGAAGAGTATTGAAATTCAAGATCTTTGTAAATTGTGTGGAAATAACGCTCTTGGGAAAGTGTCATAATTTTTTTTTCAGTGTAATTTTATTTTTATACGTGTATAAAAATTGTTATTACATAAAGTTGATTGAAAAAAGTGCAAATATTTTCTCATCCTTTTTGTATTTCAAAAAAAAAACACACACTTCTGTTCTCTCTTTTCTCTCTCTAAAATAAATATAATTAAATTAAATGTAAAAATTGAAAATTTTTTTGTCTCAAAAGTTTTGAGTTTCCTCTTTGACAAGTTTGAATTTTTGTACAAATCAAAATCAAAAAAAAAAAAAGAAAAAAGGACAACACAATAATTAAAAACTTTTTTTTTCGGTTTTTATTTTTATTCTTATGGAATATTGAATGAGGCAAAAACAAAAGTTTGATAACATTAATTCAAGCATATTTGCAGGATTAAAATTTGATCCTTGGTACGTATGAAGTATCCGAAATTTTTTCATAATTTTGTTTTGGTTTTAGTGGGATTTTCGTTTTATTATTTAATTTTTGTTTTTTTTTTGAAAGGTCAAAATAATAATTTAATATCCGAAATCTGAAAATGTCAAAAATTGTCATAAATGATTAAATTCAAATTAAAAGTTTGTCGCATATCAAGTTCTTAAAATTTTATTTATTTGTTGTGTTGTTTTCCATTTTATTTTATTTCAGGGATATTAAAGGTTTTTTATGAAAATTAATGTGAAATATGAATAACGAAAAGAAAGCAAAGCACGTAGTTCTAAAACGTTTAGGTTACAAAAGTCACCACTTCTTTCGAAAAATTTGGTATAGCTGACGGAGGGGGAATGGATAAAGTTACAAAAGATTTCGAATGAACTCGAAAAATTACGTAAAATATTTTCGTTTTTTATTAAGAAAAGGTTTGTCAATTATGAAACTTTCAAAATTTATATTATATTTATTAACAATAGAAAATTAAAGTTAACCGAAAAGTTTTTCAATTAAGAATGGAAATTTTATATGTACACGTCTCATATATGGTTTTTTTGTATTTTGAATTTCTAATTTGAAATATATTAATTTTAACAATAACTTAAGTTGAGATTCAATTCAATTAAATTCTTAGATTTCTTAATAATAGAGTAATGTCAAAACTTATGAGCACGTTTAGTATACAAAAGATATTGGCGTCAGTCGAGTAAAATTTGACAATGATGTTGACACGTAATTTATTAAAATAATAATTGAATTTCACGCTGAGAATGTTCGAAAAATTCTTAGAAATAAGCAATTAAAAAAGCATACATGGGCACTTATAAACCCGAAAAAACCTCTCTTCCTTACTTATTCAAAATTTTTATTTGTTAATTTTCGGAATTCATAGATTACAGAACATTTTTCTAATAAAAATATGAAATCACCTAAAAGTATGCAATTTTTATAAAATAAAAAATTAAGTGAAAATTGAAATAATAAAATTTGGTAGTGTAAAAATATTATTTTAAATAAATTACTTTACTTACCGCTATTGAATGTTTCCTCTAAATTAATTCAATATTAATGTAGTATTTTCGATTAATATTACAAAAATTTTGTTAAAAGAGAAAGAAAAAGTGTCACACAATTAAAATGAAAGTGTAAATTAAGTTAATTTTAAATTAGAAAAACATAATTGCATCTTCGTAATCAAGAATGTTATAACTCAAAAAATTCCATTTTTCAGCTATTAAGACCAGTAGAAAGTTCAAATAATTTATCTAGCTGCATAATGTACTTATATTAAAATATTAAAGTAGGTTAAAATTTATTCATTTTATAAAGTAAAATAATTTCGCCTAAATTTTACAACGTTGATTGTGAGCAATTTTCCGTAATTTTCTCGAATTTGATTTTTGGAGTTACTACACTTTTGTATATGACGATGCAATAATGTTCAGTTTAAATTCAATTATTAAATATTTTCACATTAGATAAATTAAATATTTAATTTAAAAAAAATTTCATATCTAAAATTTAAAAATCACAAAAAAAATTTTTTTATTTTATTTTCAATTTTATTTTTTTAAAGAAAAAAACACTTCTTTATTGTTAACAAAACCACAAAACCTAGAAAAAAAAAGCAGTGAAAATACTTACAAGAGCCCCATCTTCTTTTCCTGGTCTTAATCCAGATGCACACATGTATGTGCTACCAATGGTTTTAATTTTTTCAATCCCACTGAATTTTGGTTTTAAAAGAAGCTATTGAAAGAAAAAAAGGAAGGAAAACAAATTAAAGAATAAAGTAAATAAAAAATAATTGAAATAAAAAAAAATTTTATGGAAAATCCGACAGGAAAATTTTTTTCCTAAATCAACCACGCTAAATTTTATGTTTTTTTTTTCAAGAAAAGCATTAAAATAAAATATTTGAGTTGATGACAATAAAATATAATCAAAATAAGAAAAAAATTAACGTAATTGAATCAAATAACAGGAAAATTTAATTTGCTTCCGCGTAACAGCGAAGGTATCACATGCTAATTTCTTAATACTAATTATTTGGCGTCTTTGTGTGAAGGAAATTGAAATGTTGGTTTCAACTTCTATTTTGTACTATTAAAATTATAATGATTTCAATAAGGAAACCCTGTGTAGAATAAATTATTAAAAAATTTGAAAGAGAATGGAATATAAATTATAAAAAATTGATATCTATGTATTGAATTAATACTACATAGATATCCTATTTTGAATTCTGTACAATACCAAATGCTTTACTCTAGAGATTATTCTTGAGTAATAAGGAGAGCCGACTAAAAACGATTGTAACTAATATGAGATGACAAACCATGATTAGCAAATGAAGAGCAAGGTTTCAAACCTATGACGAATTTCGTTAGAATATCACATGGTAAAAACCGGGAATAAATAATCAGAAATTTAAAATTCCCGTATCCGAACTCGAAATCAAATAAAAATTTAACCGGAACCCGAATTCGAACCCGAACACGAACGCAAATAAGAATCCGAACTTGAACTCGAACTCGACACCGGACCCAAACGCGAGCACAAACACGAACCCAAACACGAACTCGAATCAAAATACAAATGTAAAGCAAAACTCGAAACCGAAAACCGATTTGGAATGAAACCCGAAGCAGAAGTTGAGCCCGAAATCGACTCGAACACAAATCCGAATACAAATAAACCCATATCTGAATTTGTTAATTTTAATTTTTCAAAGACGAACATATGTATGTGTTATTGATTTTGGTTTTCGAGAATCTCTTCGTTTAATTAGAACTTAAATAATTCATTAAATACAAATTTATTAATCCGTACTACTTGTATTGGAATTTTCTTATTTAAATTCTAATAGTCTACAACTAACAAGATTATTATACGAATTTCACGGATCGTACTTCAATAATTTCAAGGATTCTATATTTAGCTAAATTATTTAATAAGGTTCTTTAAAATTGTCTTTTTTCAAATGTTAATAATGATTTAATGAGTTCTTTAATAAGAACGTAAAAAATTTTTTAAGAAAAACCTATGAAAATATTTATTTTTTTTTAATTTCTTATTTATTTAGTTAATTTATTTAAAAACGAAAATTATTTTGCAAAGAAAAACAAATTTTCTTTATTTCTACCATAAAATTTTATTATTTATTTTTGGAGTGTTGTTCTTGTACGCAATATACGACGTAAAACTTCTTATACAAATTGCTTTCATTGAGTAAAAAGACAACATTCTATACTCGTATTTGATAAATTCTTCAACTCTTTATGTGTTTTTCTTTAATATTATTTAGATTTTTCAGAAAATTGTCACAATTATTTCATGAAAAATCTGTAAAAATTGTGTAAGTAATGCTTCTTTTGCTTTTGATGAATAACAGGAGGTTTTTGAAGTTTTTAATTTGATATGGTTAATTATTTAATTAATGAGTTTAAAGCAAGAGCATCTGATGAAAGGATAAAGAGAAGAAGAACGTTTTTGTTTTTTAAAGATTGTTTTCTTGTATATTGTTTTTTTTTCGCTCTTAATTAGCGCGAAAATTGTAAACAAGATAATTAAAAAGAACTTTTCTCATTTTTAGTTTAATTACATAATTTATTTTTTTTAGTTTGCAAAAATATTGAAAAAAACTTTAAAAAAATTCAATAAAGACATGAAGTTAAAATTTATGCGACGGATTTAAAATTTGATACTTGTCTTGTATACTGAGAAGATATGGACTTCGGCCTATGATTGACCGAAAAATTTGCAAAAAGAATATGGAATTTTGATTGTAAATGCAATATGGTGACGAAATTTTTGATTCAAGATTTAGCTTGCTCGAAATAACTTATAAATAATTATTTCAAATGCAAGATTTGTCAGTAAATTGTATCTAAAATTAGAAATCCTCTTTTAAGACCTTTTGATTAATGTGTTCCAGCGGGTGATTTGAAAAATATAGCTCTCAAACAAATACAAAAAATGGATTGAAAATTATATTTATTCCCCATTCTGTACCTAAAATAAGAGAAAAAATTGTTGAAATTAAGAATGTAAACTATTTCAGGATGTCTAACTTAAAAGTGTCGTTTCTTGACTTGCGTTACACTCTCTCGACTTGATATTTTTTAATAAATTCTTCAATTTGATTTTGAACTTAAATTGTATTTAATTTTTATGATATTGAATATTTCTTAATTTTCTTGACCAGTAGATCTAAAAATAATAAATTAGATATTAAATTGAATAAAAAACTAATAATTAGTCCGATATAAAAGATACAAGAGGCCAGTACAAAGACATAGTTTTGCAAAAAAAAAGTAGTCACGACCTAAGAGCAACAAGAAAAAGTCAATTTTAGAATTATTTCTCTTACCTTATCAAAATCACAAATAATTTCATTTAATAAACGTAAACATTCTAATCCTTGTTTATTAACATCAGATTCATCATAGAATTCTTTATAATTTGGTATTGAAGCAAACATAACAGCAACACCCGAATAACTTTCATGATATAATTCAGCAGAACGATCTTGATGTAAAAAATGTGTTGCAACATGAGCTGGCAGTATATTTTCTAATAGAATCTATAATAAATGAAGTAAGATATTTCAAAGATTAATTATGATTTTGAAAAAAAAATAATGTTAAAAGTTAAAGATTTTAATAAGGGAACGTTCTAATGGAACATGTTAACTTTTGCCTGCTAAAAACAAAATGTTCCTTTAAATTTTTAACTTTAATTAGTTCGTATACTGTACCCATTAGTATTTAATATTCTAATTAAAGTTTTCTAAATTAAATAAAATTTGCCACTGAATGTGTCAGTAGAAAGAATAGCTGCCAAAGTTGTTTAAATAACTGACTAAAAACTTTTAAAATATTTCATAATTTAATTGATACAAAAATCATTTTCTCGTATAAATGTTACTTAAGTGAATAATTAAAAATCTTAGATATGGTAAACAGAAGAGAAACTCTTTTAATGAAGAATTGCTAATTTTATAAATTATTTAACAAGAAATTCAAAAATTTATTTTAAAAGTTGTGCACTAAAAGTGCAAGCAGGTTGAATTTTCATAGAATATTTAATTTTATCTTCTTATTCCCATAGCACTCATATCTCTTAACTATGCTAATGAGTTTAATGTAAAAATATTCCATTCAAGTTAACACAGGAAGGAAGAAAGAATGCTTTCATTTAATTTGTTTAAAAATTTTAATCTTTTCTTCTCTGAAGATTTTTTCTTTGCACGTTTTCCTCTAATTTTATTTTTTAAAAAAATGCATTTATTTCAAATGTTCTTGAATCCTTTTTAAGTAGAAAATTAGTTATGAGAAAATTCATTCCATTTAAAACAAACTTTTGCCACTTTTGCTTATTTTTGTTCTTTTATTGCATCCATTGTATTGCTGCTATTCTAAACACTGTGTGGTTTTATAAGAATTTAATGGAATTACCGTCTCTTGTAATAATTTGAAGCCCTTAAATGGAATGTTAAAAATGAAAAGCTTTGTGTTTTGAACTTACGAACTTCATTTTAAAAAATTTAAAATCTAAATGCCATTAGGATTATGATATGTGCAAAATATTTGATAACGCATAGGAGCCTTAATCTGGTTATGGAGTAAATAATAATAATAACATCAAATAGAACAAATTTCGCATATTCAAGAATTCTAAAAAGAAAATCAATTTTCATGCGAAAAAATTGCTTTTTAGTCTATGGGTGCATACGGCTTGAGCATGATTAAAAAAATCAATATTTCGATTACAAAATGATAACATCAGGTTTGCTTTTCGGTTCTCGTAGAGGACTAATTCCAAATATTCGATTTCATCGTACGTGGTCAAGAAGCTGGTGATCAAAGTAAAAGTATTAAACATTTTAGAATTACTTTATTTATTCCTCTCATTGTTTCAACTTCTTCTTGTTCTATTTTCAGTTTGGCTTTCCAAAGGAAATCAGTTCTTGCAACGTATTCACCTTGCCGATCTAGAGTATGTAACACAGCCGCAATCAATAATAATAATAGTAAACCTCTTGCAGCTAATGGAACTCTTAAAAAAATAAAACAAAAAAAAATATCAATCAATTTTAAGTCAATAATTCATAGACTTTAACAAACTTACAAATTAGGATGTAATATTTCATATTCGCTAAATAAATCACTTAACCATAAAACAGTAACTTCACATGTTGCAGCAACAACCATTACTGATAATTTTAATATGAAACCGGCACGTAAAAATGCCGATACAGCAGCTAAACTTAATGCACAACATAATAAATAGGCCGGTGCTATTTCTGGTGTTGGTATTGAACCAGTTAATGTATTTGTCGATGATATTGAATTTAATAATGGTGGCGGTAGCAAATTTGTTAAATTATTTAAATAATTTGATGTTATATTATTATTGAGAATTGTTGAATTTAATAAATATGTTTCGTTTCCATTACCAATTAAAAATTCATTATAATTACTATTATCATTATTATTATAATATTCATCCTCACTACTAAAATCAATCTAAAATAGAGTAATAGAATAAGTTTTAATGAAATTAATTTTACACAATTTACTTACAACACTAAAAACGGCACATGCTGATATTAATACAGTTACAATTATAAACATTGCCATTCTAATCGGTCTACTTGATGCTATTATTTGACCAGGTCCATTATTACCAGATGGTGATGATCCTTCAGACATTTTTGCATGACTTAAGTACATAAATAGTCCTAATACAACTAAAGTGGCACCAACTGAACCCGATAGGGCAATATTGCTATTATTAAAATAAATATTATTTTAATAACTGTTATACGAGTATAATATATAAGAATTTACCTAGGTATTATAATAAATTGAACAACAGCAATTGACACAAACATAATAAATGCACAAATTAAATCATAACGAAAATGTGGATCTGGTTGAGCTCTATACATTATTTCACGTGGTGAATTACGATACCACATTGTAATTGGTTTTAATTCGGTGGGTGCACCAAAACAATTAAAATTGGCACAACGTCTTTCTGGTGGTAATAAATTTGATTCAATCATTGCTATACTCTGAAAAAATAAATTTGTTTTTTTTTTATATTAAATACAAAAATTGTTAAATTAAATATAAAAGTTTTTGAGAGAAAAAACTTACAGCTAATCCAATATTTTTAGCTAATTTTGATTCAGCAATATTTGCAAATGGTTTATCAGCACCCCAACATTCAACATATTTTGTCATTTTTGATGATGGCCGTGATCTTGAAACTTGACCAGGAATTGCTGTAAGAGAAAAATTTTCAAAATTATTTATTAATATTTTCTTTATAGCTATAAGTAGCTACTTATAAATTTTCCAATTGGAAAGCATACATTTATACAGCATTTTATTTTCTTAAGCCCTTGTGTTATATTTTAAATATCGCACATAGAATTGAGTTGACAAAAGATTTTTGAATGTGGTATACGTAAGAAGATATATATTAGCACTCCCAATATTACCTTCAGATTAAGGAAAATTAAAATTTTTTTAAAACAACTTTTAAATTTGATTCTGACACGTACATTATATAAAGCAGATTCAACTTTCTGCCTCTTCTGATTTTGTCGAGCATATTGAAAAAAATCTAATTTCTAATGTTTTAAAAAACATATTTGTTTAATACGAGTATAAAAAACTTTATCAATTGTATATTTATTTTACATAAGAAATAAAAAAAGTTTCACTTTAAGTCGTAAAGTCACCCCTTCTGCTATTGGTTACTCTACCATCACAATACGCAAAAGGTCGTTGTTATTGCTGTTGATAAATCGTCTCGATGTTAAAGGAACGCAATAAAATAAATTGAAATCATTTTAGAAATAATGAAAAGGAGATATTTTTGGAAAAGAAAAACTTTGTCGGTTTTCTCATCTTAATTTTTTCAAGCAAATATTAATTTTCAAAACAAAAACTTTTGCAATTGCATGTAGAGTAACTTTTTTTTGAAAAAATCTTAAATGTTGTTAGGGGTACCTACCTAAAAAAATAATATATACGACAAATTTTTTTTAATATTAAAGATTCAAGGATAAAATGAGGAAAAATAAATGTACGAAATTTGCTTCTGTCATAATTTGTTTGTAAAATTCAAATGCTGAAAAATTATTTTCGCTTTTCTAAAAACTCAACATATTGTTTTTTTTTCAAAATTATTATTCATGTGAACACACAAATGCAATTTCAAAACGGTAACACTGTTAAATCGTAACAACAGTAATATTTATTGTATGTGATTTGACAGAATAATCTCAATGATTCGAACCATATTTAATTTTCTCAAATTATTTTTTGATAATTCAGATAATTCAGATTTTATTTTCAGATAATTCTTGGTTTATCTTCTAAAATTTTTAACCACTTAATTATATCCGATGAATACTTACATGTATTATAATTAATATTTATTTACATAACAATTATATACAAAATATACATTATTTTTTAAATCTACTGATATTTACATATATTTACATACATTCATTAAAATATTTTAAAAATACAGGCATCCCTTAAATAATTTCTGCAAATATTTCGTTATATAGATAAACCACAATTAAAATATACAAGGTAGAAAATATTTTTTGCATTTCTTTTCAATTTCTATAACATTTTGGTCTACACACAAATTCCATAGTTAATGAAAAAGTTCTTGAGAAGTAGTGGGTAATATTTATTCCAACAGGTGACTTACAATACTTTATAAATAGTTTTTAAAAGAAGTTTTGCTTTTAAAGGATAATTACACTCTAAACTTCCCTAAAATATTTGCAAGAAGTTTGTTGATGGAATACTGTTTTGTATATATTACAATAAATTTTGTTATTGAAGAATTAATGTTGTTATGGAAGAATTTTTCATATAAAAATGATAAGCCATCTACCGGAATAAATGTAAATAACTATCAACACAAATATTATTAAAAATTAATTCAATTTTTCGGACGTACGTAGTCAATAGCGGAGCTTAAAATTAAAAATAACAAACGGTCCAGGTCACCAAGGCGTATTCTATTGGTTATACCTACTGACAAGTACGGTCAGTTAAAAATCAGTTTTTCTATAGAAGAACTACAATAATTTTTCAAAATTTTAAGAAAATCAAAATGGCCTTGTTTTCGAACAACAATTGGAATCCGTATCAGTCACGTTATTCAAAAGAATGCCTGTACTTATTTTAAAATATATTTTAAAAATATCAAAAAAAAATTTAAATTTAATATTATTGCAAAATGCATAATTGTAAATTTGTATACATAGGGATTGTAATATAAATATAACATGCAATTGTAACATAAATACATATTTACATATAAATAATACAAAAAAACTTTGCTGTAATTTGCTTTTTAATTTATTTAGCATTAAATTGCTCTTTTTCATTCCTTGAATTTTCCATTGTTCTTTTTTTTCATTTATTTAACAAAAAAAATATTCAAGTGCAGGTGCATTGTTGAATATAGTTATATATTAAATATTTAATTCTAATTTAAGTGTTATACTAAATAAACTGTTATATTTATCATTATTTTGTTATATAAAGCTCAAAGGTATGCGAAATATTATTTATATTTATTTTATTTTTTATAAAATTAAAAATTAAAATTTGATTGTTAATTATTGCAATTTTTACTTTATACAAATGTCAAACGATTAAACCTTTGTGTTCCTCAAAATGTCCACAAATGACAGATTTTTCTTTATGTGTATTTAATTAATTAATATTTTTAGGTTTTTTTTTTCGCTAGTTTAATTAACAAAAAGTTTTAAAAATAAAATTAAAAAATTCATTCACTTTAACAATGACGTGTTGCACACAGTTTGACAGTTATTTACTTCATTTCAGCTTTCAAATCAAAAACACAAAACGAAGAATTAAAACAATTCACAAACTAAACATATGACAAGTATCCGATTTGTTATTATAGAGAAATACAATAAAATTATATATTATGTAAGTAGAAAGAGAAAAATCAGATTTCAGAGTTTTATTCGTGTTACTTTCATTTAGAAGAGTTTAGAAAAGTTTAGTTATGGGAAGAGAAACGTATGACTACGACAGAAATTCTCAATAAAAAGAGTATTAGTATATGAAGGTTACAGATTAGAGAACTTTATTTATGAATATATGATAAATTATGATTAGAAAAAAATTACAGTTGTATCAGAATATTTTACAATTATTAATTAAAATTACGTTTAACAAGGAATAGCCTAATTAGAAATAATTTATTTTGTATAACTAATTAAGAATATTTTACTAAAAAACAACTGGAATTAAATTAAATTTAATAAGAGATTTTTATTGAAAAACTATTGAAACTTTGTAACTAACTTGGCGACAAATGTGCGGAAGAATCTTCACACTTGGCGGGTCTATGCCCATAAGAAAGTCATTAAGTTATCACAAAGGCTAATTATAGAAGTTCGTTTCCCAGTCAGATAACCCTATGGAAACAGTTCCTAGCAAGCAGGTGTTCATCGGCAAAGTAAATGTATTTCATATTATCCACTCGTTTCTTCCTGCTAGTTCCAAAAAGACGTATTACCACAGGAAAACCCATTATCAAAGGAACATATATATCAATAAGCCCTTTGGGGCAAGAGGACATATCTCATCCGCAGTCAATCACGTCTTATTGTAGTCTCTACGGTCTCATCTATAGTATCTCTGTTCTAGAAATAAACCTGAAGATATCCTTAAGGGAATTCGACAGTAATTCCTGAATGATTAGGAGAGCCCGTTCGAAACTATTTTCATATCAGACAGCCAGGTACTGTCCACACCCAATCCATATAAGAGAGAACCTGATTTTTCCAGATTATTGGGCAATGTCCAGTAAAGAAATTTGAAATGGTATAAAAAAATCAACTTCTATTCATTCCTAATAATTCCCCGGCTAACTTTCCATATGATGGTAATTTCATTCATTAAATTGCAAATTAATACTAATTTTATTATTATTTTTAACAGCACATATTAATATTTATGATAGAAAGAATAACATGTATAGAAGAATGAATTAATATAGAAAGAGTATGGAAATTTTAAGTGTTATAGACAAGACACAGAAAACACGTACCACCGTCAATTGTTATAAAAACTCAAAAAAATAAAATCAAAATTTTCAAAAATGAAAGTTTTTAGTATATAAAAAAGTATGAAAATCTCATTTTACAGAATTTTGTTAACGAGAATGTACAAGAATTATACATAGAATACACGCAATATGTATGTAGTTTGTATAATGCTTTTTACTTTTTTTTTTTCAAATTTATTTTCAAGACTTACCAGTTCCAGACATACGAAAACTATCACTGTTCGATAAGGATTGTTTTCGAAAATCAGCAAATGCACCTGTTGATGACCTTCTACGTTCACCGAATCCAATTAATCCTTTATTTTTTCATTTTATATTTTTATTTTTTTTTTAATATTTTTAATTTCGTTTGTTTGATATTTTCGTATTTTAAATGCAATAGTTTAAATATTTTACATAATTTTGTGTATAGAATATGATAAATAAATAAATAAATTAAAAAATATATGAAAAATAAAAAAAAATTTACAAAATGTTTTTTATGCATTTTTAAATTTTTTGCATTCGTAGCCATTTTATATTAAGTGTGATAACAAATTATTATTAATTATTAAAAGAAATAAATGAAAAAGGGATAATAATAAAATTTTTTATACAATAAGGGTATAAGAATAATTATATAAGTATATTATATAATACATATGAATTGTATATATATATATATATATAGTTGAATGTTAAATTTCAAATTTAATAAAATTGAATTATTTTTGGTTGAAGGTACATGCAAATAAATGGAAAAAAAAATAAAACAAAAATAATTTTATAAAATTAAAATGAATAAATATTTAAAATTCATTATGAAAATTTAATAATAATTTTTGTACATTATTGTATTCTAAATATTTAAAAAAATAATAAAATATAGAAGGGTTCATTATAAATTTGTTTAATTTATTGATGATCTATAGTATTTAAATATACTGTGACAGATTGACATTAAAATGTCAAATTTAATACATCAAATTATAATAATGTCAAATTGAATTGACCTTTCAACAAATGAAATTAAAATAGTGTTCGCAAAAAGAGAAAAACAACCAACATACTTATTACAATAATAACCACCGACAGAATTAGAGTTGCAATGGAGAAATTTTCTTGGAAGAGGACGGGATGGTGGAGTATTTATTTTGTGAATGTGGGCGGTAGCTCGCTTACGACAAACATGCTTTAGAAGGTGCTTTGTGAACTTGCTGTTGGAATTCTCGTCACTCAGGTAGTTGCAGTACTGCAATTTTTCAGGGGCTCAAATTTAGTGCTAATGTGATTGTACAATTCTAATAATATGGTTGTACAATGGCAATGTAGAGGATAAAAATCAGAAAAAATGCTATGAGTCGAAGTGAAAAAGGTCAAATACCTTGGTCACCTATTAAAAAAATAGTGAGAAACTTTTAATAAGTGAAAAGAAAATCTCTTCCGATAAATTTAATTCACAATTTATGACGAAATAATTTCTATTTTAATAATTAATAAAAATATTAAATTAAATAATCAATAAATTTCATTTGAAGAAAGTTCATTTTAATTCAGAAATAAATGATTCAGATATAAATGATTGTCATAAAAGGTGTGACGTATGTATGTTTATATTCAGATGGTAAATTCCATCTTGGAATGTAACATGTGTTCTATTTTATTTTTTGAAAAATGTAAGTTCTAAATTATATTGTGCATATTAAATCTAATATTAAAATGGATCTAATATTAAAATGAAATATTATAATTTCATATTATATTGTGCTTTTCTATTATCTTTTTTTTTGGCATTAAATACAATTTGAATTGCAAGTACCCAAATATAATTTTAACTATTAAAACGTAATAATTTAATATAAAATCTTAAAACATATAAGAAATTTATAATAAGAAATTAAGAAATTAAGAATTTTTAGTAAGTATAAAAGAAATTTATAAAAAAAGTTAGGGGAGGTGTCAAACTACATTTTTTAAAATCTCAGATTTTTCCATATTAAGAGTGCGTTTGTATTGTTTAAGTTTAAATAAATTTCAGAAAGTCTAATCAATAAAAATTATTATACACATTATTCCTATTAGAATTACATTAAGAAAATATCGTTGTAACTTTTGTTAGTTAGTTGTACTTAGTTTGTTGTTTTTCACCCCGGCGGTAGCATAAGAGAGAAATAGAATGTCATTGTTATTAGACTTCTTGTACTCATATTTTGCAGAGCAAATAGATTTTTTGAAGTTTATAATTTATATACATATATATATTTTTACGTCAATTCAGTAGACATTTGTACTATTGTCATTATTTTATTTGCCCGTAAAATTTTTTTATTACCAGCCATTAATTTTTATTTTTATCGTTCCTTCTTTTGAAGTAATTAAAATTCATGTTATCTCTCTTCCATCTCTCTTTTTTTGTATACATTTCACCACGTGTTGAGTTTTTGCAAGACATTTATGTCTCCAACGATTCAAAATCACAATTATTATAATGTAACTTAATTGAAATAATTTTATATTTTTAATTTTTTATTACTTTATTTTAATTCACTTACAGTTTCCAAATATCAAATGTTGAATTTTTAGGACCATATTGTATAGGTTAAAAGTATTCTGTGTATACTATTACAGTATTCGTAACAGTGAAAAAAATTTCAAATGAACATTAAAAAAAATGTTCTCTTAAGAGGTCGTAATCTCAATTAAAATAATTAATTATTAAAAAAAAAAAATTAAAAGTCTGGATGTCAGGAAACCAGAATAGATAGTTAAAGTGAAAGAAAACAGACATTGAAAATTTAGGTACATCATTGTGTATATAGTTTATAGTGCTATACAGAAAATAATTTTTATAATAACAGAATAGAACTACTTTTTTTTGAGTGACACTGTTTCAAATTAAGAAACATGATATACTCACTAACACCACCCTTCAAAAAAGTGGTTCGTTGTGAAAATTATCTTCTGTATATCGCAATAAACTGGATACATAATGGTTATACTTAGTTAAAAAGCGATAATAATGAAAAGCGAAAAAAACAGAGTTAGTATAGTAAAATAGCAAAAAGAGCTGTTTAAAATTTAGAAAATATTTCTAAAGAGTTGCATTTTTAAGTCTAGTAATTTTAACATTTTAATGGAAACTAAGAGGTGTTAGGAAAAGTAATTGGTTAGACTATTTGCTAAAATTTTACTATTCACTCTAATTTAACACCTAAAATAATTTAAGGTCGAATAAACCTAATTAAATAAAAACTCTAATATTAAATCTAAAAAAAATAATTTTAAGCGGCTGGCAGTATTATATTTTGATACTTGCATTTCTTTACAATGTATTTAAGCTGCTGATGTAATTTTACAATATGATAGCCAAATTTGATCTACTGATCGCCTATTTGAATGAATTAAAATTAAATGGAACTACGTTAAATTCTAAAAATTTTTCATTTTATTTTTACAAATCTAATTTTCTAAAAGGCTTGGTGAATATAATGTAGGTTGAAATCTTTATTTTAAAATCTACTTTATGTAATTTTGTGTGGGTTTAACGAGCTAAGTAATTAAAATTATTTCTAAATTTTGAGTGTGAATTAATAATTATAGTTTAAGAAATATTAAATTGCACTCACCATGATAAAATTTCTTAACTAAATTTTCATTTTCTAAGAATCTAAAATTAAGCTAACGATAACAATAATATTGTGTTTATTTCTTATAATTATAGATAACCTCCTATATCTAAGCATTCTGGAGTTTATAATTTTTAAAAGCGGGTTGATTAAAAAGAAAACTGGCAAACAAATAATCTTTTTTTTTAATTTTGTGCTTTTTTTCAGTGATAATGAAATTTTCTAATTGGGGGAAATTTAATTATTATATAAGGATAATTACACACAAATTAAAATTATCATTATTATTTATTTTTTTTAATAAAAAAAAAGTTAATAAATAAAATTACGAATCTTTGTCTAAAAAGAAAAATTTTTTCTACTCTAAAAATTATTATAAAAAAAAATTGAATTTTTTACAATATAAAAGTATGAAAAAAAAACTAAAGCAATCTCATTATATAAAAGATCCTTTTAACTTTCTTGACAAAGCCAAAAAAAGAAGAAAAAAATCATTAAAAATTTTTTGAAATACAAACCTTGTACTGATAATTTACGTCGTCCTTTCTCAGGTACATCACCACCTGTCATCCCTTTAAAACTACCCGATGAACCTGTCTCTTGCGGTAATGTTAAAGATGATTTACTATTTGGTGTTGGAAGTTTTTCATCATTAGATGCCGTTTTATTTGATGAATGTATAACAGAATTTTGTCTAGTTACAGTTGTAGTTTCTGTTACATTATCACCACCACCAGTACCACTTGTTACATTTTTTCCATCTTCAGTAATTGATGTAGGTGATACTTGTGTAGGTTGTGGTAATGGAACACCATTCTCTTTAATATTTGAATTTAATGTATTTTCATTTACAGTTGTACCATCAGCAGTTGTTGAATTTGTATTGTCATTATTTGTGGTTATATTTGATTCTTCTATAATTGTATTAGATAATGGTGGATCACCAAGAAAGAATGATACAATTTCACCACTAGGCTTTGATTGATCCTGTAAATTATCTGATATTAAATTTTCTGTTTCTGTATCTGTTATATTGGTTTGTGGAGGTGTTTTAACTTCAACAACAGGAGCCAAGCCGGTTGTAATTTTCTGTTTTTGTTTATTAAATGTTTTTTATCCAATTTGCGTCAATGTTTTTTATTGATGCAGGATGAAAATGAAATTATTTTTAATTTTTAGATTGTGTAGAATTTTGGAATTTTGGATTTTTGGAATTTTTAGTTTCGGCATAATGAAATTTTATTCAATGAATCCGGTGATGATGATTTTCACATAAAATGTAAATAAAATAAATATTATAGTAGATAAATTTTGATATTTAATTGGTTTGTTTCTAATTAAAATTCTAAGTAAAATTGAATTAATTTATTAAGACAACATACCTTCGGTGGTACAATTAAATATGTTTCAATTTTATGATCCGCTAAATATGGATCACGTGAGCCACCATTACCCGGTTCAACTTCAAATTTATCGCCTAAACAATCCAAAGTCTGTTTGGTTATATGAACCCGACTGCAATTTAAAATAAAAATATATAATTATAAAAACATTTTTAATAGTAAAATAAAAATCAAGAAATGCTTTTAAAAAACTCAACAGATGTCGTTCGGCACATCTATTTAAAACTGAGTTTAGACCACCAAATCGGACTGTGTTTAGACTACCAAAGATTAAAAGCGTCTTTGAAATAAACGTTACCGTTTCGCAAACTACCTAATTATGTTCAAAAATGGTAGAGTGAGATACTTGCTTTTACTCAAGTTCTTATTGTTGTGCTTATGATTAAACAAAAATTTTGTAATCAGCTCATATTTAAGAAAAAGCATAAACTTGATTATGTAAAAATTATATCTGTTTATTATTTAAACATTTTCATAAGAAAAAATTCAGACCTTGCAAAAATGACGATATGTAAGAAATACATAATTAAGTGGATGTGAGTTTTTATTTAGTTTTTTGAAAAATTTAATAAGCATAATATTGTTGTTTATCTAAAATAGATCAAAGAATTTATTCTTCTTATTATATTTTACTTCAAAAGATTTTTACAACTTAAAAATATTATAAGCATTTTGCTTTGATCTTATTGAAATTTAACAAAAGCAATTGTTTTTCAAAAGAAAATCAAGTACAAAATCTGTATGTATTAAGCTAATCCGAGATTTAACAGGAAACATAGAAACGACAATAAAAAGAAAAAAAACTTTTTGTTATAGTTGACAAGAAACTTATAAGATTTGGATTTAAGATGTAAGACGTTAAATGTGGGGAGATTCTACAAGTCTTAATTGGAAAATTATTAAAATGCACCCCCGAATACATAGCAGCATTAGTTTAAACTTAATATTTTTAGTTTGACACCACAGCTCTGTGTATAGTTTTAGAAAAATTTACGATATGGTTTATATCAGCCTATGCAATTTGCATTGAGTTTATGAAAAAAAAATTTTTGCATATTAATTTTTTTTTCAGTATCTAATTAAGAATAACAAAAAAGCTTTTAGTTTGAAATCTGTTTTTCGTTGTGTCGTTAAATGAACATAAAATTGCACTTAACAAACTTTTGATTTAAATTATTAAAATATTGAATCCCTTTTAATTACATAATTGAATTCCATGCACTTTACCTAAAAGTATTCCAATGTATTTTAGTAATATTATTAAAAACAAAAAGAACCAAAACCCACCCAGCGATACCGCCACTTTCCATATGGTTTGCTAATGAAACATCATCACTCCATACATCAAATTGCCACTTTCTTAATCCTAATACACCGCAAAGGACATTTCCTGTATGAATACCAATTCTCATATCAACATTAAATCCGGTTGCTTCACGAACTAATCTATAACAAATGAAAAAATAAAAATTTCAATTTATATTATAATAGACTTGATTCAAAACAAAAAGCAACTATTATTGTCAAATACAATTAAAGCTATTTTGAATTTTATTTTAATTGATTTGACTTTATATTCATAAAGAGTATATAAAAGCTTTAATTTAAAAATTCAATAAGGATTTGCAATGTTACTTAATATTACACAGACCTTATAGCCTCAATCATTTGTAAACCCATGTGGACACAATTTGCTGCATGTTGTGGTCTTGATATTGGTAATCCAGATACACAATAATAACAATCTCCTAAAATTTTTATTCTTAGACATTGATTTTCCTATAATTAATTGAGAAAATAAAATTTGTACACGTATACGCTATGTACTTGTGAAATTTTATCTTACTTGAGCTATTTGATCGAAACGTCCAAATAATTCATTTAATGTTTTTACTAAATCACTAGCTGTCAATTGCTCTGATAATGGCGTAAAATTTACAATGTCTGCATACAAAATTGAAACGTTATTATGACGCTGAACATGTAATTCATGAAATCTAGCTGCTGATGATGTTGCTTGTCCTCCAGCACGTTGACATGCATCGGCCATTTTTAGCATAATACTTCTTTTAACCTTCAATAAAAATGGAGAATTTGTTTTAATGAAAAACATCAAAAAGATAAATGACATATTAGTGAGAAATAATGACAATTTTAAATTATTTTCTCTCTTAGACGGAAGAATTTTTTGAATAAATTTCAAGGTTTTATCTCAACTAAATGTTAATCGAGCCTCTTTTTGCATGTAATTGCTGCCATTATGGGCTAAAATGCTATAGTAATAACATTATTATTAAAATATTCTATTTTAGTTAGGTTCAGTTTGGGTTCAGTTCAGTTTACTTGCATGCACTTAGCCATTCGTTTGCTTCAAATACTTTTGAATTACATTTATGAACTGGAATTCTAGTCTACTTTAAGTAAAACTTTACATTTCACTGAAGTTGCAGCCTTCTAACTGTACAGAACATTTTTATCATTATAATATAAAATAAGTGTCATTTATATGCCCCGGCTTATAATCCTAAAATAAGTTCTATATTTATTAGATATGAAAGTTTAATGGATTTTTTTTGTAAGTTACATGTAATTTGTACGAATACACAATATATAATTACAAATATGTTTAATTTAATTTATTTTATTTCAAATTTAAAAGTATAAATTCATTGTTTAAATTAATTAAATCAATTTAATCTTAATAAGTATTGTTTTTTGACGTGTCAACGTAAAAGAACATGAAACAAATTTGATTTTATTGATTTTATTCGAATCTAAGCGTTGAATGATCTTTAAACCGTTTACCTAGAGAAATATAAAGCACACTATAGAGAGAAGACTATAGAGAGCACAATATAGAAAACAAATTGAATACAAATGAGAAAAAGAAGAAGACAGGTGGCAGGTACCACAAATTAGAGATTAAAGTACCAGAAAATGATATAAAATATTTGTTATTGCTTATTTTCTTGCTTTCTTTTTTTAATTATATTTTCCCAGAAGAAGATTATTTGAACTGTATTGTAGCATTAGAACATTTGTTAACGTTCGTTAAAGAGAGACCCGCGAGTGCGATTTGTAACAAATCTCTGTGATTTAGAATTTAGACAATCGTATTCAATTAATTATATCAATTTAGTTGAAGTGATGTGAAAATACAGATAATTTACTTATCTTTTAGAAGATATTTTGATGGTGTCTTGGTTATATTTTGTTATATTTTTTATTGTGAATTTAAGTAATTAAATTTAATTTAAGGTTTCGACAACACGTAAGGTATATTGTTTATTTCTGATTGTACATCATTATTTTCATACATTGAAATTAATCCTAATTGAGAAATTGAATTCTTTCGAATTTCTGAGAAGGCTGTCGTACGCGTACCGCACGTCAGAAATGAAATGAGAGAGAATGGGAGAATGAAGAGTACATTATTATATATTATTGACTGAAAATATAGTGAATAAACACATTTGTTCATTATTGTTTTGAAATTTATTTTATATGGCCGTACGGTTGTAATTTATTGTGAATGGTTATTTGCGGCTATATAAATTACATCTTATGTTTGATAAAATCTGTTATATATACATATATGAATACTGCATATATAGGGACAATAAATTTGCTCCTTTCCCTATTAAATCAAGTTTTTTAGTAGGCATCTAAAAATTGTAAAATCTTATGAAATTTTTTATTATCAATATAATAAAATTTAAAAAAAAAATCACATAACGTATTACAATATAAAATTATAAATGTAAAAAAAAAGAGACAAAAAAACAATTTTTTTAAAAATATATTTTATAATATAAAAGTATTACATGCCGTCAAAACGGAAAACATAAAACAAAAATGAATTTATTACATTGAAAAATTGACATTTTTATGTCAAAGAGAAAAACAAAATAAAAAAACAAAGAGACGAACGAAAAGAAATCGCAATATGTTTTCTTTATTACATGAAAAATATAACGTTGTAAAAACTCTTCCCTGTCTCTCTCTCTCTCTCTCTCTCTCTCACTGTTTCTTTACATTTTCAATATCTTTAATATTTTTTCGTTTTTCAAATAAAATCGTATTACAACTTTTTGTTTAGAACTTTCTTTATTGAATTTCGTGCAACGGGAGAACAGATTCCAAATCAATCGAAAATTATCTCAATTCTATCGGTAGTCGGCATTTTTGTTAATTCCGGTAAATTATCTTGTGAGAAATGTTTTTTGCCAAAAGTGACAAAATTTACAGTTTAAAATTAAATCGCAGTATATATCGGTCTCCTTCCGATAATTTTAAAAAAGGAAAAAGTGTAAAGAGATGGAGAGAAAGAGGTTATCATAAGTCATAAAGCTTAACATATCTTACATACATAAGTGAGAAATTTGTAAACTTGTTTTCTTCAATTATTGACGGGCGATGGTAACATGTAAATGGACTTTAGAATTGTAATTATAGACTGCTAGATGTACGCATACAAAGTTCTAAGTGTCGTTCGATTCTTTGGGACTGACACATTAGATATACAAGATTATTAGAATATGTGTTTTCAATAGATAAAATATTTTAATCGGTAATCTAATCCCTATAGTTGTCATATATTTCAGATGTGTTTATATATACATATATGTATAATTTATATACAAACTTACTGTTTCTTAATATAAATTGGAATAAAAGCAATATAAAAGTACAGGAAAACAAATAATTTTTTTACATTTATGAAACAAATATTCTTTGGAAGAAAAAGAAAAACAACAAAGAAAAACAAAATCATATTATTACATACGTATGTTCTTAACAAGATTTAAAACAAGCTATTAAAAAAAGGATGTATTCGTATGTATACATCACATTAAAAAGGATTAGACATTTAATAGCATATGTGTTTAACTGTTAGAGATGAAATTATCCTTGTACTTTAGCATTAGCGTAAATTCTTAATTTTAAGTAAAGCAAATTTCAAGAATTTAAATGGTTTATAATGTTTTTAATAGCAAATTAAAATGGAAAGTGGATTTACAAGATGTTTAACAAAGAATCCTTAAAAAAAACAAGGAATCATAAACTTGTTATTTGCGTATATTTTAAGTAATTAACTCTAAATTGATTAGCAGATTAAAAATTTTTTAAAATTTATTTTAATTTTGATGAAAATGATAAGTGTACGGAGGAGTATGTAAAATGTCTCTGGAGAGAATGTAAAACTTTACATTAGCTGGCATGTAGCATCTGGCCTACACCTCAAATTATTGAAATTTCAATTAATTCATAAAATTCACAAATTAAACTTACTTTTACATATAATTAAATATTATATTTATATAAGGTTAAAGAAATCTATAGCTTTTTAATCTCTAAATAATTTTCAATCTATCGAACAGTAGCAACAGATTGAGTTTTACCAACTTTTCCAATCCAAAAATTGTTGCAGCTTTTTTTGCTTAATGTTATTTTTCAGGTTTACTTAATTGTCTATAAAACAATTTTCTTCATGATAGAGCAATATGATTGCAATTGTCTTCTAGGTCATGTTTATAAAACCCTTGTATACACACATACAGTATGTAAGATATATTAACTAATATCTTTCGTAATAATCATGCAGTTACTTCATCTAATGCAAACAATAAAACAGATGACCTAATTTTGTTTTATTCTTCTTTTGTATACTTTCAAAGTAGCACAGTAACTAAAAAATAGCTGACTTTATGATTACTTTGTTCTTATATATGTAAGTATTTGCAAAGTTTTTCATAATTTTATTTTCTAAATAAGTTAGTAGTAAATTATTTGAAACTTAAAGAATCTTGGAATTTTGAAAAACTTTGATAAAATAATAAAAAAAAATATCATTTTGAAACAACCAAGAAGTTTTTCATAGATAAAATGTAACATTCTTTCTATTATTTTTAAATGTGTATATATACATTGTTAGATTGCGTTCCATATTTTATACCACATATCATTTTATGATTTAATTTATACATGTGAATGAGCACATTTATGTGTGCAATGGTGTAGGTATACGTGAAATATTTCCAGTGGCAACATTAAATTCTCATCTATGCTTTCAATGAAAATGATTTTCTCTCTTTAATTTTTTTATTTGATATGATGACACATTGATACATTTTCGATCCTTATAAGCATGTATATGTATATATATATAAAGGAATTTTTTATGGTCGGATACACAAATATGCATATTTATGAAAGACGATGTAATATGAAAACAGTCAATTTATATTTCAACAAAAGATAAAAATTCCTTTCGTTTCTTTAATCGGTTAAATTGAATAGAATTTCTTCATCTTATAGCTTCCATGTTTTCCTGGATAATAACGATTTTTTGCCGCCCATACTCTCTTTACTGACTGTTTCGGTGATTAATCGCCTGAATTCGTACTGTTACCTATAGCATCGTGCTAACAAAATTTTTGTAAAACCTATACTTCTTACAATATCCTAGGAAGATTCCACTCAGATCTTCACAGCATGAGGGAATATTGATTGTCTGAAACGTATTGGCTGTTCTCATTTTTTGTTCGATGAGCATATGTAAAAAGCGTGGAACAACATGAAAATATCACAATTTTATCCAAAAATTAAGGGTGCACTTCAAACTTAATTTTCTCGAAACACAATTTTTTGACTATTTTCTTTGAGTCATGCGTTCCAAGGAAAAATGTTTAAAATAGAAGGTCACATCGAATTATTCAACCTACCACAATACCTGAATTGAAAGATTTTATACGATTCTTTTGAACATGAAGCAAAGTATTCTTTCTAGAAACAATTTATCCCAGAAGCAAAACATTTTCACTTCCAAGAAAACAGTTAGGTAAAGTAAAAATATTTTTTACTATCAGTCGCCATGTTCAAAGCGAAAAAAAATGTGATTTTTTTTATTTACTTGTAAGAAATAAAGAGGAAATAAGCATTTTTATTTTCCTTTTTTGACATTGTCTTGAATTGTTGGAGAAATTCATTTGAAATCTTGAAAATTAAAGCTAAAAACTTTCAAATTCGTATTTTCTGTATATTTTTTCTGCGTTTTATTAAAAAACAAATGTA